ATCCATATCCAAGATGGGTAATCGGATATGGATATGGTAAGCATCATATCCGAGCCGTATCTGAACTGAATGCACCCCTACTTATTTCTCATTTCTTATTTAAGAAGGAAACTAATTTGCACCCTAGCAAAAAAAAAATTGTAGTAACTCTGAAATAAGAACTGCAGCCAGTGATGTATCTTAGACTTGGGCAAATATTTATTGTTTTTACTTTCTCCCCCCCCCCCCCCCCCCCCCCCCAAAAAAAAAAAAATTAACATTTTGAGATTTGAGAAACTAACTATAGCTAGAACTGTTACTTGTAGAGTATCCTTAGAGCATCTCCAGCAGTCGTTGCCAAGGGGAGTGCTCACATGTTCATGTCAGAGCTCCATGGGTTGCTAACCATTGGAAGAGCAAAGGAGCAAAGTAAAGTTGCAAAAAGTTGGCAACGGCTCCAACCCCCTTTTTCAATTTTTTTTTAAGAAAAATCAAACCAACGGTCCTTTTGACCGTTGGTGCTTTATTAAATTTTTTTTAAAACCAAATTAAATTTATTTTGTTTCTCTATAAATACGACTCAATATCAATCATTTTTTTCACACCATTTCATATATTCTTCTTCAAAATTTCAACATCTCAAAATTTCATACATTCATCGCAATCTTTAGGTGGACTTGGTGGAGCACATATGGTCCAAATTTGGAAATCATGTTGATTAGATTTTTTTATTTAATTATGTTAGATTGATTAAATATTATATTGTAAGTTTATGAGTTATTTTTAAAATTGGTGTAACTTAAATTTCATGTAATATTTATTTATATTAATTTATGAATTTTAAAATTTTAGTGTGATAATATTTATAATTAAAAAATAATATATAAAAAGTAATATGTGGGACCATATAGGCAACTTTTGGAGTTGCCCACTATTGGACCATTTTTTGGTAAAAGTTGCCAAAAGTGATGTGGATGAGAGAGAAAATAAAAAATTAATATTTGTGATGCTTTGGCAAAATTTGGTAACCTCAAATAGTGCCACCATTGGAGATGCTCTTAGGGGGTTATTGGTTGGGACAAGTTTGGGCTAAGTGGAATAATTGTTTCAATGGAACAATTTTATCCCTTTGGGATATTTTGAATGGTATAAAATGAGATAATTTAGGATAATGAGACAATTTGAAGCTTTAATTTGACTATTCATGTGCGATAAATGATAATGTGACACCTTATTAAAATACAATATTTATCTATTAATTAAGTCTAAATTAATTTACCTAATTGGTTTAGCATATTATTTGGTATGTTATTATAATATAATACATTATTTTACTTTATACTAAACCATAATATATTATATTATAATTACTAATTAATTATAATTATATTTAATGTTATTAATTAATATAATATAATATATCATATTATATAATAATTGATATAATATACAAACAATATATTTAATATAATATTTCAATAATATAATATTTAATTAAATATTATAATATTTTATTTAATTCAATATAATATTATTTAAAATATTAAATTAATTATTATATTTTTATTCTAACTAATAAAATATATACTAAATAAAATAAAGTAATATTATAATAATGTAATATTAATATTATAATGTATGAAATATTTTTAACCGATATGTAATACTGATATATAATAATGTTATATTATATACTATTATATAATATTTTATTATCTTATGTTATAATAGAATTTTATAATATAATATAATTAAGATAATATATTATAATACAATTAATATATATTAGATATTTAGTAAATTAGTGCTTCAAAATTATCATACTTTCCTCATGATTGTCCTAAAGTTAAGAATGAGGTAATTTTTGGAGGTTAGGACAAAAGGTATAGAAGTGGGATGATTTTAGGAAAAGTGTGGGTAATTGTCCCAATCTCATTGTCCCAATGAATAACAACTTAAAGTGAAAACCCAATCTTATTGTCCTAATGAATAACACCATAAAGTAAAGTCCCAAAAGGTATCCCACTTACCCCAAAATTACACCAACCAATAACCCCCTTCAGTGACAAAGCATATCCTTTGTGTGAGAACATATGATACCCTCCGGTAATTGTTTTTCACTGAAAATTCACTAGAGGCTTACTTATCGATCTTCCACTATAGATTAAGGAATAGTGATTCCTCTGTTATTCAAAGAGAAATTCCTTCATATATAGCTGATTATTATGGCAGAAAAACTATGCATTTTTCATCCGTTGAGAAAACACCACATATGACAGTACTACAGTCAGATATTAAGTTTGAGAGATCTAGACCTTCCAAGTACGTTATCATAAATAACTGTACTGAAACCATGGTCAAGCGAAGAAGTTATTTCTAGAGAAGAAATTCCAATCAAAGCTCATTAAATAATATGTAATGTTTACTTTTACATTCTGATATTCCAAAAAAAAAGATTTAAATTCAAATTATTATATTTAGCAGATAGAATAAATACGCCTCTCTCATCAGACTTAATTAGCCACCTTAATAGAGTAGGACTTGCATGTCCTTCTCTAAGAATGCCAAAGTTCTTGTTTGATTGTCTGCTACATTTAACCCTATCAATCCCTTTCCCTTCTATAATATCTTGCCATTTTCAAATTATACCCCATCTTTATTCTTGGTTTATTCTAGTGGAAGGTTGATAGTGGACACCTTTCTTACTCTGACTTCATCTCTAGAAGGAGACGTGCATCACTTTGATTGTCTAAGCTACCTAATCCTTTTAATATCAAAAGAGGTTCACATTTAATAATACTACCACATTATCTACAAATATATAATCCCTCTTATCTTCATGATTCTCTCCACCGCAGTGATAGAATCCTCCAAAAAAAGTCTTCGTAACTACCTACTCTAATTTAGAAGTATGCTGCCCACAACAATTTCTGCACCATTTCTCTAACAAATTTTGCAGGAACAAGCTTTTGACCCGTCCCATGAATAAGCGTTTCTCCTTTGGAAGGAGAATGGTCTTTGTCACAATGCCAGCAGTGAGTAAAAGAAATTTGGTGCTCATCGCATTGATTTTTAAGCTGATTGGCTTCGTATACTGCTTTGATTTCTCTTCTTTTTAGTCTCTTTTAGTCTAAAAGAAATTTTAGAGGTTAGTTCTTGGTTGAACTGGGTTAAAAGTGTACTGGAAAATTAACTGCCCTTTTGCCAATGAGGTTAAGCACATTTTATGACAAACCCATCTCTTGTGTTTGATTTTATCTTTAGTAAAGGTTTATATTATAAGATCAATAAAAGCAAAAAAAAGTCGCGAGAATGAAACGCAAAGAAGGGAAACAAAGATTCATGGTTCAACACAAAAGGCCAACAACCATGGGCTTGAAGAAACATGTTTGGCAACGTACTTATTATCTTTTTATTTATTATAAGGTGCTAAGATCATGTTTCATGGTATTAGTTTAGTTAATATTTATTTTTAACTTCTAAGTAGGAGAAAAATAAGCGGATTCTCCAACTTATTTTTGGCCACTTAGATGTAAATTTACTTATTGATATTAAAATACTATATTGCCCTCTAACAAAATAAGTAAAAATAAGTAATAAGTAACTTATAAAGAATCTAAAATAAGTTGTAGCCAAGCAAGCCCATAGCAGAGGTTAAATCCATTTTTAAAATTGTTGAGGAGCACAAAAGGTGACTCTCATACTCAATCTTCAAAAGTATCCTCATCAATTTTTGATACAAAATATCACTAAAAGAATCTAAAATTCTAACCAAAATTATATTATGATTTGAAAAAGAGAGCTTGTATAACTTTAGCCTGCATGTGGCACTTGCCTATGAAACCAAGCACAGATAAAAAAAATGAAGAAAAAGAAAAAGAGAACTTGTTTTTCTTAATGAACTTGTTACTGGCTTATAGATATATAAACCCTCTAAATATGAAAACTTTAATTAACTTGTTTTTCTTATTTATAGATTATAAATCCTCTAAATATGAAATTTAAATGAACCTGTTTTTCTTAATGAACTTGCTTTTCTTTTTATAGATATATAAACCCTCCAACTATGAAAATTTTAATAAACTTGTTTCTTAATGAACTTGTTATTCTTTTTGTCTGAATAAGAATCTGATTCCAAATAGGCAATCAAACTAAGTAGGTTTTTTAACCCAAATATGTTCTAATGTAAATAAGGTTAGTGTTGGCATTTTGATTATAATATAAAATCAACATCTTGACACATTTACATGCAAGTAAAGTAGCAGCTAGTCTTCTCTCTACCTTTCCCAAAGTCCATAAGGGCATCAAATGTTAAAGCCTAGCAAAAACCATAAAAGGGGATCTAGTACTAAACTGTAAAATTTACTCAGTTTTTTGTCTACCTTCCCAAAAGTCCAAAAGGAAATCAAATGTTTTAGTCTAGCAAAACCATAAAAATGGGATTAGAACCAAACGGTAAAATTGACTCAATACGTTTGAGCTCATGAGCCAAGTATATTAAACTCTCATTCATACAGTTTGTGGATTGTAGCTACTCTTTAACATATTGAGAGGTGGACATATGATCATCAGATGAAGACTAGTTCGTCAAATCCTCTGCAATCTGATATATTATTATTAAAGTTGGTACATTATAATCTAAGGGATATATTTTAACAGCTTCCAGCCGGCAAACTTTTTGTGATAATTCTAAGTGAGGTCAGGTAGGAGAAGAGCAACTCCAACTTGTTTAATGCAATGCAGGCTTACTCATCTCATCATAACCTTTACTACCTACCATAAAGATAAATATAATCTATCAACTTGTATTAATGAATGTTTTAGATAAGATAAGAGGCTGACCACTAGGCTCCAAAGGATCAAGGGAGATCCCTCTCTCTTTTCATGGTTATCACGCTTTTGGAGAATTTGGTGAACCACCATCTCCACTACATTTGAAATATGGAATATTTGGTTCTCATCATATGCAGGACATACAGTTATATGTATTTGTCTTCATGCAAATATTCTGCAACTGCTATCATAATTAACAACTCAATTAACTATTAAAACCCAAGATAAATGAAAAAACATTAACTGCATATTCATCTTTCACTGTTCCAGCTGTTCTATTAATCCTGCAGCCTTTCTAAGTAATCGTCAATAATTATCCGGTAATCTAACTTGAGCAAAAGTAATCACGACGTGAGCCTGTTACCTTTTACTGCAATGTTTTCTTTCTTTCCTAGAAGTTTGTCATCAGGTGCTAGAGATAAGAGATACTACAGGAGATCATTCAACTTCACCTGTTGAAAGAAATAAAAATCTATCAGTGAATTAGTGATGAATATGTTTGGAGTCAAATATATTAATCTCTCATTCATACAGTTTGTGGATTGTAACAACTCTTTAACATATTGAGAGGTGGACATATGATCATCAGATGAAGACTAGTTTGTCAAATTCATGATCATCAGATGAAGACTAGTTTGTCAAATTCTCTGCAATCTGATATTTTATTATTAAACGTGTTACGCTATAAAATAAGGGGATATATTTTAACAGCTTCCAGCTGGCAAACTTTTTCTGATGATATATAGAATGCTCAATTTTACCTTTATAACAAGCATACGACCCATTCCAACACTTAGAACCTAAAGCATGCAGTTATTAGATTCTCTACCGAACTAACTACTGCATGATAAGTTAACTAAACACAAAACTGAGACAAAAGGATAAAAATATTCATCACCGAGTTTTCCAATAAAAGCTGAAGCTTATGATCTGATAATGATTCTGAAAATTAATGCCACCAAAGTCAAGATAATGCAAAATATGACCTACTGTTACATTCAGAACGCCATTGGTCCTTACTGCTGTTAGAAATTTCTGGGTTTCTAATATCAAGATTTCGAAATATGGGAACAACTCAATAATTGATGTAAACAATGGAAAGCAGCATTTTTCAATCAAAGCATGAATATGCTTGGGCCAACAATTAAACACATTTAAACTGAATATACTTGCTCACTGATTCAGAAAAGATCCATTTTATTGGAATTTACATAACATATTGCACAACCAGCCATACCTCCACCAATTGTTTCTAAGACGAAGAAATTTCTTCAGAAATCCAACTGTAAGGAAAGACAAACTTCTTATTTCAGATCAAAATTGATCAGAATACCCTAAGATCTCCAGTCAAACCCCCCACAACAAAACCCATCACACAGACACTAAAAGAGAAACTGAATGTGGACTTAAGATTCCATGCATCGATGCAAATTGATTTGGTGTTAAATGCAGCACTATATATGATTCATATATAGTGCTGCATTTAACACCAAATCAATTTGCAGACAGCAGGCATGTTCTAATAAAAAACAAATGTTTATTTAGTAATCATAGAGCTACCTATGTATTCACTCACATCAGTGCGAATCTCCATAGCCAGAATAAGTCCATTGTTAATATATGATGTCATAATCTCAAACCACAATCTAAGACACAGCTCAATAGGACTAAGAATTTAAATCCAGTGCACCAACATATTTATATGCATCATGACCCAAAGACAGCAAACCTATGGATTCAAACTTTTAACTGACTGCAACTACCCAGAAACCGTCAATTGCCACAATTCAAGGACCATACCAATTTAAGATGTTATCTCCTCCTCTATTCACATGTTACTCTTGTTGCTATCTGATCGTTCCCTTTCATCAAAAAACATTTCCATTCAATGGAAAATATAGAAAAAGTCACTTGGTGTTGTTATTGACTCCATCAATAATTTAACAAACAAACTGGATGATATAAATACTTCGAACAAATTTTTTATCAACACAAAGCATAATTTCAATAATCACAGAAATAACAGCAGATGTGTATTTACATAAAAGAAAGCCACATGGCATTACTCTCAATAGATAACCATGAGCATAACTACTCAAGCCCCACTGTTGATACTAACATACTAAGGTGCAAAAATATCTAACCGTCATTGATAGAAGATGCATATTTTTTAACATCTTCAGTATGCAAATTAAGGGGGATTCTTAGACCAACTGCCTGACCAGCAACAGATAACCACGATGCCAAGTATTTAAAAATCACAAAGTCCTGTTGATTGGGACCCAGAAATAACTTCATCCACTCACTAGTTCCGCAGGGATGTAGCATGTACCATGGGCAATGTAAGAATGGATGTTCCTAGTAGCATCAAAAACTACATCAGTAACATAGTGGGGGGGGGAGGAAGAGTTAAGAAAAGAGAAGAATAATTGCAGTAATATCAAAAAGCCCTTATGGTCTAAAATCAATAAAACAACTTACACCCAGGGGTGCCTTCGGTCCGGATACGGCTCGGATATGATGCTTACCATATCCATACCGAATATACATTGGTAAGGAAAATTCATATCCATAGCCACTAAAATCAGATATTGTTACGAATATAGATGCGGATATGCATGCGGATACAAAATGGATATGAGAAAACTAGATAGAGAAAAAGTTGAAAAACATAGTTCATGTGATACAAAAGAGGTCGTTAATATGTTCATTATAACTAAAAGCTAAGATTAGACATCTTGATCATCAAAATTAACCACTAATCCATAATTTAAGAATCGAAACTATCGTAAGAGTATGACTAATATGTATTCGGATATTGCGGATACAGATACGGATATTTCACTATAAAACCATATCTGTAACCATATCCTATAGGTTATAGATTTGAGTAATCATATTCGTATCCTAACGAATACGGTTACTGATATTTCTTCACATATGGATACGGTTTAGCACCCCTACTCACACCCCATATTTCTGGAGTCCTGCATTTCAGAAAAATCTACATCAAAAGCTCCTCAGAATTTTCAAAGTCAACAAACTTCAATTCGCAAGTATTATATACATCGATCCAATAGTTTACAGGCTTCATTTCATTTATCTATTTTATTTCAGCATAATTTTTTCTAACTTTATATATCTGAGGATACAAGGCAATATGATACAATTACAATATAGATTTATAAAGAATATGAAAGACAGATTTACCTCCTGGGTCATGAATGTCCATTTAGGCTCCTCCAAAAGACTTGGAGAATAATCGAGGTCTTCTTTGATACCGCCGTGCATATCTAGAGGTTGACCATCTAACAAGAGTAAAGATCAAATCTTAGAATTGAAGATGAAATATTAAAAATACCAGTGTATGCAAAAAAATAAAAACAAAAGAGATTTACCACATCGGTATCCCCGAAAATATAGTACAGGCACCCTATATGAAAAGCTATACACTATATGAAAGTTGTATACATGTGTATCTTTATGAGAGCATCGTACCTAGAAACAACAAAAAGAACAAGAACAAAATTCTCAAAAATTGGAAATGGAAGTAGAATTGAAAAGAAAATTTTTATAAGAAACAATGATAAGGAACACTACATTCCCCATATGAAAGCTTTAGGTGGCACTGGATGTAGCAATTTTAAGATCTTATCATACAAGTAAAAAGCTCCCACAAAACCAAATACAAGTAGCAACTAAAAGAAAGGAAAGAAAATGAAAAGTAAGATATCTTGGAGAAAGATTTTTAGCAAAGCATTTTTTATAGATATTGGATTTTACTTTACACAGGAGTGCAGAAACAATAATAAGAAATTGGTATTTACATCTCAGAAATATGAAACGAAATGTCTTCTTTGTATAAGCAATAATCTGAAAAAATTAAAGAGCCCTGCTATCAAAACATACCAATGTAGCACAATCAGCTGGCTCTTCTTGCTCTTCTTGCTCTTCTTCTACCGAAAATCCTTGCTCACCTGTAGTATCCTAAAAGGTAAATGTAAAGTATTGCAGTTACTACCAGTTATCGTTTAACAGGTTACGTATGTTATGCAAACGGTGAATTGGTTTCAGACCACATTGGGGTCCAGATGATAAACATTCTCGAGCGACAGATAACCCTCTTCCTGAACGAAATGAGAGAGAGAAAGTTATGATTTATGTGGAGTAGTTAATAAAGATATGATAACCAACACATATTAAAAATATGTTTGTACCCGTTTACTAGGAATCCACGTCCATTGAGGAAGAGAAGAATTGATTTCCTTCCATCTCTCACAAAGGGCTTTTGCAGCAATATAGAAATCATCGGATGAAAGTGTACCATCCCAGGCCTTATGGGATCCCATAGTAAGTTTGTGGTACTGTAGCAATGAAGTGCATGGAAAATAATAGTCATTGCTAAGAACCATACACCAACTGCACAATCCTTGATAAGTTAATCTACATCTTGAACATGGAAATCATAGTTTAACACTTCAGGGATTGAATCAAATTTGATGTGTATGCCGATCAAGTCAAAATGAACAATTTGATAGGATAATTGAACTCATTAGGTGACAAAACACAAAAAGATGGCAAGCAAAAAATGAAAAAATCAATATAGAAAAATTGCAATGACCATATAATTCCGCTACATTTAGTGCCAAAATTAAAACCAACTAGGTCACGTCTCACATAAAGCAACCAATTTTTCAACAATGCTGATATTTTTTTGTAATAAGTTATCGCAAATTTCCAGTTACAACCAACTTCAATCTAAAGAAGTAGAAATATGTGGTCTATTTAGATATTAGATACTGACATAGTTGAAGACAAACATGCCACAACAACAACAAAAATTACACACACACACACACATATCCCTTGTGTAAGAAGTAGAATTAATCTTCAAACTTTGGGACGTCTCCCATAAAACCCTCCTCGAACATTGCCTTTACCACTAAACCCCTAAAACTTTTTCCACAAAACCCCCAAAACTTCAAAATGTCTCAAACAGCCCCCTATACTTTTACTTTTTCCCACAAAACACCTCAAATAGCAAGCATAAGAGAGAAATTAGATCCCAGAAAAAACAAGGAAAGAACAGAAATGGGATAGTAAGGTCCTTCAACTGTAAGAGACACTTTTCAGGGGTTTTGTGAGAAAACTCAAAAGTTTTGGGGGATTATTTTATACTCTGGAATTTTGGAGGATAATTAGGAAAAACATAGTTCAGAGGGGTTTTGTGGGAAACACCCCAAAATTTTGCAAGGTTTTGTGAATTTACCCAACCCTTAAAAAAGCAAGCATCTAGGGGTACCTAGGCCCTGCATATAGGTCTTGAGAGCACCTAAGAGAGCATGGGCCTCTTACGTGGACTCGTGATTTCCTCCCGTGTCACCTCTACGTCCTTTGACCTCCTCGGTCTCCTCCTCTGACTATGAACATATCCTCCAACTCCTCTGACTTTTAGCAAAACTCCTCCACCACCACTTAAGGAAAAAAAAAATCAGCACTGGGGGATGAAGGAAAAGGGCCTATATATCTAGCCTCATATACAAGTTGGTGGATAGATAGTATATGTAATTACTGATTACTTGTGCAATTAACTCATGCAACCAGGAACAAGCTCTTCAACCTTCTCTTGGAGATGTCAGAGAGTGTGGACATTTTCTAATATTTTTCTTGGAAAATTATTGTGGCATTTGCCTTGTTTAATTGAAAACCTTTTTCCAATAGGTATATAGAATAATAATTGCAGTTCAATTAAGAAATCCTTGCTTGAATAGGATTGCTTAGTCATGAATCTCAACTGCAGGTTGGGCATTAGCTATCAACCAATTATTCAATAAACACATAAAGTTCAAAATTTTGTCACTTTAATAAAGTTTTTTTTCGTACAAAAGGATAATTTTTCTATGTAAACAAGGATGGCCTCAAGCACCATATAGACTCTTAAATTAATCTACAAGAGAAAACAAACAATAATCACAGTTCACAGATATGAAGTAGATAACAGATGTAAATTTAAGGTATACATCGCCATTAATACAGAAAATTTATCTTTCCATCCATATCATTAGAAAAACAATTAGAGTTATTTTTTGATGTTTTTTCTGCTACTGCTGAATAATCGTACTGTCTAATTTATCACAAAATATAGATGCTTATTCCTCAAATTTCATACAATAGCAGTACAAAAGTTATGGCACAAAATTCAGAAATCCAGAGACTTTGATTGCAAAGTGTAAGCGGAGTAAAATGGAAGAAGAAGAAAACGGAAGATAAAAGGACACCCGCAGTTGGAATTGCCTCGTCAGAAGTGCTCTCGTTCTGATAAAAACAAGGTTAGGGTTTCTGGAAAAATTATGATTTGTACACCATGGTTTTCTTGTTTTGTTTATCTAGAAAAACACCATGGTGTTTATATTTTTCTTCAAAGCCGTTTTGAAAACACCGTTGAGAGTTTGTGTTGCGAGTTTTTGTTGCTTCCATCCGACACCGCCCTACCATTTGCGGCTGCCTTTGCTACAGAGATTGCCGGCCATCACCATCGCCGGCGACCACCTTCGCCGGCGACTGTTGCCGCTGATTTGGTGAAGAAACAAAAAAAACAAGATATTATAGTTGAAGTCATGTTAATTACTTCAAAGATGAAAAATGAACATTGCTTCCTTCATAACAGGAATTAGAGAAATTTTAGATAAATCAGATAACAATTTAAAAAAAAAATAGGGAAGAGGAAGAGAATAAGGAAGAAAAGAATCATAATTAACAATCACTATCTCATAAAATAACTCATCAAGATTAGGGCAAAAATAGAGAGAAACTAAGCATTAGGGAGGAATAAAATTGACACGAATTGGGGAAGAAATCAATTCCAACTGTAAAAACATACAAATTAGGCACATTATACAATGTTGAAAGGAGAAAGACGAACTTTTGCGGCGATCTGAAAGTGATGGTGGTCGGAGGGAGAGACTGACGCGGTTATGAATTCCAGCGTGGGGGAGATGGCTTGCGGTGGCAGCCGCCGGAGTGAAGGCGGAATTCTTTCTCTTGGTAGTCGCTAGTTCTAGAGGGGAAACGGGAATTCGCTAGTTCTAGAGGGGAAACGGGAACGCTCGACTTAAAAACACCACTTTGGTGTATTCAGGAAAGCCCTTTTGTTGGCCTGGATCACGTTTTAAGCCCAAAATAAACGCTTTGATTCCCAAACAGGAAAGATATTGGGTACAAATATCATATATATCTAATCTAATCTAATTTAATCTAATCTAATAACTTATACTTATACTTATACTTATACTTATACTTATACTTACTATTATAAAAATGGATTGGGATGTTAAAACATTTCTTCCGAAAATACCCTTTGAAACATATACATACATACATAAAATACATGCATCCATACATAAATCATAGCATAATCCCCAATTAAATGCATACTCATAATACATAAAATACATGCATCCATGCATCCATACATAAATCATAGCAAATGCATACTCATAATACATAAAATACATGCATCCATGCATCCATACATAAATCATAGCATAACCCCCAATTAAATGCATACTCATAATACATAAAATACATGCATCCGGGCATCCATACATAAATCATAGCATAACCCCCAATTAAATGCATACTCATAACTCCCAAATAATTTTATTTTTAAAGTCATAAACGTGCAAGTCATAATCCCAATTAAATGCATACTCATAACTCCCAAATTATTTTATTTTAAAAGTCATAAATGTGGTATAAATGGTTTTTATTTTGTGGTAATCACAATATTTAAATAGAACAGATATGATAATAACAAATTAAAACTCGAAACAAATGCACTTTTAATTATGTACTAAATGTTGTTTACACTTCTGTAACATCCCATCATCAAATTCAGTTATGATAATAGCAAAAGGAAGGAAAGAAAGTAAGAAACTAAAAATTAAGTTCGCATGATCATTTCTTATTTCCACCTCACATAATTTGAACATAATAGGATGGATGTTCTAAAATACTAAAGCACAAAGAGCACTGCAATGATCTGTAAATTATTTACTATTCAAGTAAGTCTGAAAACCTTATGTTAGAGGGTTTATATTGGGCGATTCTTCAACGGGATTGTGTTTGATTCCTCAATAAAGGAATTTAAGGTGAAGGCACAATGATTAAAGCACAAAAGACACATTTAATAATTTTCCTTCTCAACTAACGTATGACACTATTAATCTTCTTTAACTCCTCATTCAAATCAAAACCCTCTTCATATCCTCTGTATCATAACTTCTACATTCAACAATATATAACTCCCCCATCTCTGCCTCCTTCTCCACAATCCATTCACCATAACAAAGAATATCGATATCTCTCATGTAAAACATATATAGCTTGCCGAAACAATCTATCATTTTCGCGCCAACAAACCCAGCCATTTTTTAATTTCGCGTATTGACCAACCTTGATGACAACGGTCTTGTGGACTATTGGAGCGACATGATGTAGCTCCAACATCGGTGCTCTAATAAGATCGTATTATTCTCTTGTGGACTATTGGAGCGACATGATGTAGCTCCAACATCGGTGCTCTAATAAGATCGTATTATTCTTCATCAATTATGAATAGCATATGGCCTCGACTGCAGATGATAAGCTAGCTTCATCTCATTTTTATTTTTAGTTTTTGTACACAGTTATCTATGCTTTCTGCAAGATGTCTATGCTATTATACTTTGTATCGTAGTTTAAAAAGAAAAAGTTTCCCTCCATTCGTAATTCACTTTGTTGTGATTGGTAATGCTAAAAGTTACAACAACCAGATTTGAGAAATTGATAAACAGGTGACTGGGCTTAATGTTTCATAAACATCAGTCAAAGTTCATATTATCAAGCCCTTGAATTGTTGCTTTCCTCCTCTGTGCTTACACATGAAAGTGGTGTAAAACCCCATAGAATTTGATTAATGAGTCTTTATTATGAAACATATGTTCATATCATAAATGAGTATAATAACAAGTGTTTGGGGATCAAACAAGTATATTTATGTGAGAGGAATCGAGTGTCAAGACCAGCACACACACAACATGCACAAACAGGGGAAAACCTACGCGATCGACCGGGCCTCTGCATCTTGTGCGGTCGACCGTGGCGGTCGACCGCTGGGAGTTTTGCCAGTTTTCCTATTTCGGTTCAGTTTGGGTTTTTGGGTCGGGTTGGAGGGCTCATATATATATTATTTTATTCATGAGAGCTTTCTCATCATCTCAGAAAACCCTAGCAGCCTCCCCCTACCCTCTTGCAAACCCTGGTTCTTTCTTTGGACGTTTCTTGGCGAGTTTTGGAGAATTTTGGTGAGTTCTAGTGACGTTCAGCGTAGGAGGATCTTTTCTAGCATCGTTTTCAGTTGTTCTTCACCCCTCAGGCAAGTTTCATCTCGCTCAACCCTACACCCCTGCTTTTAGATTTGTTTTCTAATGTTTTCTTGCGATTTGTGAGTATAATATGCTATTTTCTTTATATAAAGATAGATATTATTATTGTATGATGTAGAAGAATAAGTTTTCAGTTAATAAAGATCACACACAAATTTCTTAATATAGATCTAGATCTGGAAAGACTTCTAACAAGAGTTTTGTAAGAAAAATATTTGTTTTCGAATGTTTCGACACGAAATATACATGTTTAAGTTTTGATTTGTTTTATCTATAGTGATTAGACTGTAAATCACATGTTCCGGTTATGCTAAATCATTTATGAAGTTTTAATAGTGCCTATATTTATCGCACGAAAGTTTTGGATCGAACCCACGTAGAACAAAAACCAAACTAGGGTTTCTACTTTTATGCGGTCGATCGTGGCGGTCGACCGCGTGCCGTGCACAGAAGCAGTAAGCTTCTGCTCCAGTCACGGTCGACCGTGGTGGTCAACCGATGGGAATTTTTTGTTGTTTTGTCCTATTGTGTTTAGGTTTGTATGGCTAGCATAATATCTGGGTTATTTGGGTTTGCTATACACTGAGAATTATGTACATGAGTTGAGTACATACATGAGTCTTCGTTTTATTCACCGGGACATAAGGGTAAATAGTTTAGATGTTGTTTCAAACATTATTTATATGAGAATCCTCGTGTTGGACTATAATCATCAGAGTCCTCGTGTTGGACTATAAACTATTGAAGTCCTTATGAGGGACTATGAGTTATGAGAGTCCTCGTGTTGGACTATAATTATCAGAGTCCTCGTGTTGGACTATAAACTATTAAAGTCCTCGTGTTGGACTATAAACTATTGAAGTCCTTATGATGGACTATGAGTTATGAGAGTCCTCGTGTTGGACTATAATCATCAGAGTCCTCGTGTTGGACTATAATCATCAGAGTCCTCGTGTTGGACTATAAACTATTAAAGTCCTCGTGTTGGACTATAAACTATTGAAGTCCTTATGAGGGACTATGAGTTATGAGAGTCCTCGTGTTGGACTATAATCATCAGAGTCCTCGTGTTGGACTATAATCATCAGAGTCCTCGTGTTGGACTATAAACTATTAAAGTCCTCGTGTTGGACTATAAACTATTAAAGTCCTCGTGTTGGACTATAAGCTACTAAAGTCCTTGTGCCGGACTATAAACTATGAAAGTCCTCGTGTTGGACTTTAAGTAATGCAGGTTGACATATTTTTGACATGTGACGGATTATTGATGGTATGGTTGGAGATGGAGTTATTACTCCACGTAGTTGTTGGATTGGGCATTTAGCTATTTACAATATGAGCTTATGAGATTGTTGAGTTACCCACGCACATGTTGTAAATTCCTAAATATTAAACTCCTATTTTATTTCAGAGTTTATGATTGATTATCTATATGTATTAATAGCTATTTTCATATCCCCCGAGCCCTTCCCCTAGGGTTGGTTGAGATGTTACTCACTATAGCGCTTTGACGATCGTTGTTTCCCCCACTTTTAGGTAACGAGCCAGGTGCACGGAGAGCCGTAGCTTGATTGATTTGTTTTAGTCATTATTTATAGACAGTGTTAGTAGTTATGTCAAAACTCCACAGTAGATATATTTTGTTAAATATTTTGAGATATTATTTCTAGTTTTGAAAAAGGCGAATGTGCCTTAGTCATACTTCATTTGATTTCATATTGTGAGACAGTTGTATCAGTTCATATGTTTTCTTCTCAGAGATTTATTCATTTATGTCAATGATGATGACTTTTCTTCAGAGTATCTGTTGTTTCATATTTCTTCTGTATTTTCTCTTTTGCATGTTT